TGTTAATCCAAGACCAATAATTTTGAATCCAGGTAAATTAAACGTTGTTCATGTGATAATTTTTTAAACATCCATGCTAGACATTTCTTTTACATGATATACATTGCATGCCAACACCTACTTATATTGTCATCATAATGTAGTCTGGCTGCGTGACCATTCAACATCTTCCATGCATGTATGTATATATGAGTTTAATAATATATAAACACATTATTGCTTTGACTATAAATGTGCGGCATAGAACGGTGGTTATAACTTTCTTGAAATTCTATTAATTAGTATTAAACTTGTTAAATTAGGTTTCTTGGATAATGAAAATCCCACTAACCCATTTACGGATCAAAATTAACGGCTATGCAAATAGTACTCCTATCAATCAACTCGGCTTTATAATCTCAATTACTACTAAACTTAAAACCCAGACCACGTCAGTGCTTTGTTGCCGTCAATCATGTGACCAATTAATAAAACAACCCTTAAGATTTAAAAGTTGACTTTGGTAGTATTTTCGATTTTCTTAACACGTGATTCTATAATCATCAGTGACGTCATGAATTCATAATGTTCATTAGTATCACCATTATTTTTACCTTCTCGAATAAAATAAACAATCGGAATCAAAGCTTCTAGATATCTTAAAAAAGAAAATTCAGATGGCCTGACAACCATTAATGATTCATGAATTTCATAGGAGATTTCTGCTGTTGTACTGCAGACATTAATGTAATAGTTTCTGAAAAATGATGGGGACCAAAGATTTTTAAAGTAATGAAAACAAATTCGCGCTAATAGTTTTCATAAATCGCAGAATGTTCTGGTGTTAACTTTGCTTAAAATTCATCATTGTATTCATCTGTTCTTATAAAAACTAGAAGCTGTTTTTTTTTTTTTTTACTTTTAACAAGACGTTATTTGTTATCTAAAAATTCAAGCATTAATAAAAGAGTTTGTGGCAAAAAGCTTCTAAGAAAATTTTGTCATTCGCTTGAAAAAGCTATTTCGGATCCATAGAGACGAATATCACAGAAAATAACAATAAGCCCAATAATAAAATGGGGCTGCTTCTCTAATAAACTGGCAATGAGCCCAATGGAAAATCTGAAATCAATAAGAATATTAAGTACTTGAAGCCTTTTTAGTGAAATAATACGTAAGAACTAAATTGGCCGTAAAAAGTATTTTCTATAAGGGCAATTCTCTTAAATAGCACTCTTTTAAGTTTTTATTACAAAAATATAACTCAAAAATTAAAATGACAAAATAATACTTTTTATTTTGAATTTTTTTAGTTTTTTTATAATTTTTAAATTCGAACCCTATCCCCAAAACCCTACTCCTTAACTCTAAATAAAAAAAATCTAGGATTAATTAACCCAAAGGTATAAATGTATATTTAATAAAACATTTAAGTGCTATTTTGGTCATTTTAATTGTTAAGGTCTATATTTGTGATAAAAACTTTTTTAGGTCTATTCTAATCATTTTCTCTAATTACAAAACTTTATACTTTTACATGAATGGATCGCCAATCAGATATATAAAATTCGTTCATAAACATCTATATTCGAGATAATAAGAAAGATTTACACTGAGGGTCACTTTATCTCTTTATCTCTTATATATTTCACTGTAAGACACTTTTTGCTATAGAGGTAGTTTGCACACTACACGACACAGATTGAGAATACAAAATTCCCAACATATCCTTTTTCTTTTTCAGTTTTTTTACTCTTTATTTAATCTACTTATTTCATAACCAAATAAATTAAACACGTGGTTGACCTGAGAAATACAATGTTTTCTTTTATCTTTCTTCCTTTTTACTATTCTTCTTTGTATTCTTTCCATTTTCTGTAAATCCAAGTCTGTTTATCCAAAATAGTTTGTTCAAGAGATCTTGTTTTAACTCATTTGTCTATATTATTATATCTATCTTTTGAGATATGTCAAGCTACTAGATCGAGGAAAGCGGAGACATAAATGAGGGTGAAGATATAGATGACGGCAAGATGTAGATGAAGACACAATGACATAGACGATTGTAGAGGTGTAGATTATGGTGAAAACATACAATGGTGGAGACGTATGCAAGGTTAAAAACATACACTAAGGGAAAGAAGAGCAAAATTTTTGGTTTTGCAATGGTTTTTAGTTTTGACTTACGAAGATTTGAAGGCATTTTTATTAACTAGAAGAATATGGATTATTTAGATTTGTTGTACATGGTATCAACATGGTCAATGAAATGATATGGTCGACGATTATGATAAAAAAAAGGTTTTCTGATTTTTTACTTGTGTGATTTCGAATTAGCTACTTCAATTGTTATACCTTTTGTTTCTCTTTTTCTTCCTTTCTTTTTATTTTTCTTACATATAGCTATGTGGTGTCAATTCATCGATGTTAAAAGAAAACAACAAAATGCATTGGAATGCATGTATGAGTAGAGAGAGCTTGTTCATGAACTGCCATAGTAACCATAACTATGGTTTTGGATTGTGCATACACCATTTCTCAAGTTTATGTTACGTTACAATTTTCATTGCCATATTTATAAGCTTTTTAAAACATATCAATTTCATATGATGTACATGTGTAACATACTCACAATGTACATTTACATGTGTACACATACTCACAATGTACATGTACATGTGTAAACATACTTCACAATGTACATGTGTACACATACTTCAAAATGTACATGTGTACACCAAATTTACAATGTACACTTGTGTACACGTGATTATTACGGACAATGTACATATGAATATTGTTAACTGATGTTGTGATGCGGCCTCCTTATTTTGTTCTTAGTGATGTATGATAATCGTTTGTAGAGTGGAGTGTGCTTACCACATGTTTTAATTTTGTATTTCTATAGATTGTGAGTGTGTACAGATACACATGTACATTGTTAACATACTCACAATGTACATGTGTACACATGCTTCACAATGTACATGTGTACACCAAATTTACAATGTACACTTGTGTACACGTAATTATTACGGACAGTACATATACATTGTAGAGTGGAGTGTGCTTGTGTACACATGTGTACACGTGATTATTACGGATAGTACATGTACACCAAATTTATAATGTACACTTGTGTACAATTCCAATATTTGTTTTTACGTAAGAAACTTGGGTTATACACATTAACAATATGTACACGTATCCCATAATATACACAATCAAGTAGTTGTACACGATGAGATTCGGTGTACACATGGACTTTAACCAAGGTGAATATTACAAATGTGGCTTTCACATGTAGAAAACATTTAAAACTCTTTACATCTAAAAATTAGTATCATTTTAAAACTCTTTTGATCTCAAAGCATCATTGTTCACAGCAATTTGTATCTCCATATACTGCTTCTAAAATCTCTCCTACACAAGAGTGATCATGCATGTTGCTTTTTGTTATTTACTTGTACACAATTTTTATTTGTACACACTTAAGCTAAGATTTCTAGGTTATGAAGAAAAATGAGCATAATACAAGTAAGGAAGACTAAGTGCATGATCACTCAACAAGATAGTGCAAAGTTCATGTGAGATTTAGTTTATTTAAATCTTTTTTTTCCTTTAACGTGTACATGTGGATATCGTCCAACCATGTACAAGAAATATATGCATGAAAATATGTGTGTACAATTCCAATATTCGTTTTTACGTAAGAAGCTTAGGGTATACACGTTAATATATGTGCACGTATTTCATAATAAACACAATCAAGTAGTTGTACACGATGAGATTCGGTGTACACATGGACATTAACCAAGGTGAATATTACAAATGTGGCTTTCACATGTAGAAAACATTTAAAACTCTTTACATCTCAAAATTAGTATCATTTTAAAACTCTTTTGATCTCAAAGCATCATTGTTCACAGCTATTTATGTCTCCATATATTGCTTATAAAACCTCTCCTATACAAGAGTGATCATGCATGTTGCTACTGTCTTTAACAATAGGGAATTTGATGTTAAGGAATTGGTTAGCATAGTCATGACGGGAGAATGTGAGGCACTCAATGTTGATAAATCTGCAATGCTATGCTGTCATCGGCGTTTTTGGTCAATGCGCCACCGCCATCAGAACCTAACAAGCATCAACTTCTACAACACTTCCCTCCTTCCTCTCATTGTCACCCTTTATGTCTTACTTTTCTTCACTTTCGCATTCCTCTCTATTACCAAATCATCATCTCTCTCCTTATTTTTTTGTCACCAAATATTCACCTTCAACTAACTAAAGTGATTTCCCATCCTCCTCATCTTATACTCCTCGTTCTCAAACATCAATTACTCTCTCACATCTGCAACTTTTACAGATTTTGTGTCGCCATTAGAACAACACATATATTTTTTCGTCACCGCATTTTTCGTTTTATTACTATAGTTCAGATATAATTTATAAAGTGATTTTTAATTTGTGTGGTTCAGATTAAAACAATTATAAAAAATGTATTTTAAAATTTAAAATAAACAAAACATGAAATCTCGTGACACAAAAAGAGGAAAATGTAAGGTTTGTTGTCGGTGAAGGTAATGTTGTATTTTACCACCCAAAAACTATCCTAGTAGTGGGAAGTGTCCCAAGGTGTTAAAAAAACTTAGAAAGTGCCTATTTATATAAATCACTCATTAATTAATGGGATTCGTGTTAATGTGTTAGACAGTTTAAAGTTTAAATATTCTATAACGTTTCTTGGTTAGTTTTAACGATTTTTTAAGATCCCATGGGGGTTCATTCTAATTGTTACATCTTATATATCATGGGTTAATTTAGTGGGATGTTCCACTTTGACGTTCATTTGATACAGCTGGATCATGTAACTAATTTTTTTTTCTTATTTTTGCAAAAGATAAACTAATCACAATAAGAAAATGTTTCAAAAGAAACCAATCACACTAATAAGGTTATAGATATTTTACACTTACGATTTTCTTATACATAGTACCAAAAAATCAAACTGAATGCGTCACAAGTTCCTCAGAGCTACATAAGCTAGAACCCTGTAAAGAAGCAACATAAGGGTAAGAGCCAAAACATCCCACATCATGTTCCCTAACCTCAAATTCTTAATCCCTTCATAATCCATAACACTACAATGCAACCCTGGTCCACATTCATAAACCTCATCCCATGTGTATTGAACCCCGACAAGAAGCTTATAACAATAATGGCTAAAAGAAATATACTTCAACCACGCAATGAATCCCGGTATATGTTGGATATAGTATCCTCCGGCTAGTAAGAACACTAGCATTAACACCGAAGATAACGTCGCTGCTTTTTTCGCATCCATCAAGATTGCTCCTAAAGCTAACCCTACACCTTGAGCGACAAGAACATTGTAGAGAACGATCATAAGGGTCATGATGAATGTGGTTAAAGATGACTTGAGACCTCCCATCCAGTATGTGATCGTGACAAAGATCGTTGGAAGAATGAGTTCCATTGGTAAGTCACCGACTGTTCTTGCTATGTAATAAGAGGAGAGTCTGTAGATTCCTGAGGACCGCTCTTTTATGAGCATTGGCCGTTCTTGAGGGAATATAAATATGGCGTTGAAGAGAGGAAAGAATCCCCAGAATACCGAGAAGAAGAACAAAAGACCCACCTGGTTTAATAAACAAAAAAAAAATATATAAGTTTGACGACGGTTTTTTTTCCTAACACAGTAACACTTCAATACACCCACTATTTTTTTTTTTCTTTTTGTTTTTGGAAAGTTGAAATATTTTTGTGTTATTTTATCCATAACCAATGATGGACATAATAATAACGGATTGTACTGAAGATATTAACCATCATCATTTCTAAAAAGTTGCTAATGCTCATTTTTATATAAAATAAGAGGATTCAACTTCATTTTGAAAACCATGAACATAAACTCATTATACCAAAATATCATTAACGTTTCATATTTGAATTTATAATTTGAAAAAGAGATTATGGGGTTTTAAAAAATTATGTCAACTACTTCAATACATACATGAAAAAGAGTATAACCATTTTAATACCACGGTCTACTATTTTTACCTGATCTTGTATGTGAGCAACGCGGGAATGCCACCATAAGAGGCCAGAAAGTAAAGAAACCGACATGACCATAAATATTTTAAGTCCTGAAAATGATTCGTGTCTTCTTTCCTTTAATCCTCGCGTCAGTAAAACTGAGAATTGCATCCACCAACTCGTTGGCCAGCGATCTACATATTAACCCCAAAAGACGACATGTCGTTACTGTAACAGTAACCAACAAAAAAAAAGGTATTGAAGTGCTATGCTAAAACGTTAATGACATTACTTGTTAATACTGTCTTTGCTCTTGACCTATTGACCGTTTGATCTTGTGGAAACGTTCTAGAAACTTCTTCTTTCAAAAGTGGATACAAGTTCTTTTTGTAAGCCGATATTAACGTCAGTTTCACTGAGTTTTGTTCTTCAAGCCGATCTAATTTCCCATGTGTCTCCACTTGATCATTTTGCTTTGTATCCGAAGTAATTCCTGCAAAATATATCATATATCTATTAAAAGTATATAATCAAAAGCAACATATAACGAATATCTTTCCAGATATATAGTCAAAAGCAACATATAAACACATGATTTGCCACACTATTAATAAACTATTTATTTCTCTCTTTAAAGATAAATTTAAATTAGAATGAACAAAGCTTGTAATAAATATCCAAAGCAAGGGATTAAAAATGTCCTTTGTTGCATATCTCATGATGCATGGGCAAATATTAAAGAACAAAAGTTTTTAACTTTACACCCGAATATAGCTTTCCATTTTATTTAATAAAAACTTTGAAAAAATCATATTAAAGTTCGAATATAGTATGTACCTACCGTTAGCAAGATCAAGCACGAAATCAGCCGGGTTAACAAAGCTGGATCCGGGTTGAAACCCAATAGAACCAAAATACTCCATGACCCGACCCGAATCCCCACTATAAATAGGACATCCTTCCGACAAAACCAACACTTTATCGAACATCCTATAAAGCCTACTCGACGGCTGATGAATACTCGTCACGACCGTCCTCCCCCCACGCGCCAACGATCTCAACGTAGAGACTATACGCGCCGCCGTGGTCGAGTCAAGACCCGACGTTGGCTCATCAAGAAGTAACAAACTCGGATTCACGAGCATTTCTTGACCGATACTAACCCGTTTTCTCTCCCCACCCGAAATCCCTCGGACCAACCCGCCTCCTATCACACTGTTACAGCACCGGGTCAACCCAAGATCCGAAATAACCGTCTCGGCTTGTTGAGTTTTCTCTTTCCGGGTCAGTTCTTTAGGTAAACGGAGCAAAGCCGTGTACGTTAACGTCTCCATCACCGTTAAGTGAGGGTAGAGAACGTCGTCTTGTGTAACGAATCCGGTTCTCCGTTTCATGGAGCTTGTAAACTGTTCTCCGTTATAACTAACGGTTCCTGAGAGCCTCCCTTGTAAACGTCCGGCTAACGCCGTTACTAGAGTTGTTTTGCCGCTCCCTGATGGACCTAGCATTGCGAGTAGCTCACCTGGCTTGACTATACCGCTTACTCCGTTAAGAATTAACCGGTTCTGTTTTGGTTCTGATGAACCGAACCAATAGCTTCGTTTCCCGGTTTGTGTTTTAATAGTGTACGTTAACTCCTCAAACTGCATTTACGTACACACACCAAAACAACATGAGATTTTTTTTATGTAAATTAAAAAATGGGTTTGTAATATAAATTTAACGACCTTGAGAATTATGGGACGTAAAGATTGGCGTAGAACTGAAGTTTGTCTTGATCGGTGACTCGGACCGGGACCGCCTTCATCATCATCGTCAAGGCATGGGATTACATGACTTGGAGAACTAGATCGGTTTTCTTGAACCGGGCTGGTTTGATTTCGGTTTTCCCCCGGTATTATCGGAAAGCTAGATTCTTGCTCATTAGGAGGCATCATGTAGAGGAAGATCACAGAGAGAAAAGAGGGAGAGATTTGGTGTGTATAGATGAGAAGTTCACATGTAATGTGATGTGTATATAAAGGAAAATAAGTGGGGACTGTAAGTCTGTAATAGAGGGAAAATTAAGTTGGAGAGAGTATATAATGTTATTTATAGCGCAATTTTTCGTCCCACTTTAAAATATATATATAATGCCAATTTAGTTATTTCTACAACTTCGCACTCATAAACTGATCAATATCTTTTTTTTTTCTTTTTTCTTTGTCAGCAACATAAAACAGATTCTACCAAATTGGTAACTCAGCATCCATATAAACAACATAAGACGACTGTTTCATGGCACTGCGTGCGAGTTTGCCGGCTTTAGTATTAAGCGTTCTTGGAATATGAATGATTTCTGAATGAGTGAAGCCTCTTCGAAGAAAATTTATATTGTCCAAGTAATTTGCAAAAGCTGGTCATTCCTCTGGTGCAGAAACCATCTTCAGTGAGTCAGATTGATTATTGCTGTAGTTTATGTTATTTTTACTTTAAAAATAGACCGTATCTTTTTGGATGTCGTTTTAATATCTTTGCTAGATTCTTTTTCTTCTTCAAAATCATAGAAATCACTAAATAAAAGTTAATAGAAAATTTAGATTCCAAAGATAACATGTTTAATTTTCTAAATTTTTGCTGTTAATTCACTTTCAAATACAAAACATGATTGATTTACAAAAAACTTTATAAAAATATATACAATATCAACATGAATACATCCCTTCCTTATCAACCCCAGTATATGGGATATACAATTCAATATTTGTTGACCATAAAAAACAACACAATACTAGATTTTGATCTGTTCGACCGCACATATATTTATTTTATGTTTTTGTATTTATATTAAATGATGTATTTGTAATATTTAAACACAAATTTATATTGAAAATTAATCTTTACAGTTATAAAATACAAATCAGAATTTTAATAAAATATTCTGATGTACAGATTAATAAAATAAATAATAAACAAAAAAAAAACCCTCACAGTGTTCGAACACAAGAATATCTTACTAGCCTTATAGTCTTTAAGAGGAAGACTAATAAACCAGAATATCTTATTAGCCTTATAGTCTTATTGTCTTTAAATACTTAAAATTTCAGATTCATGAAATACAAATTATTTACTAATATATCTACCAAATTAGGATTTTTCCTATAAATTAATAAATTAAACAATTATTATTTTGAAATTAAATTTAAGTTAATTTTTAAAATATTTAAATTTATCTAAGTATTTATCAGGTTAATCATTTCCGGGTCAGTGACGAACTTTTGATGTTTTAACCAAATTTTATGGAGTTTTTAAATAGAAATTTTATAACTGAATCCAAAAAATGAGATGAATTATGATATTTTGTATTTATTTTTGTTATTCTTATTTGTTACCTAATAATATGGTACAAATGTATAGTTATCTATATCACAATTCAATATAATTATCAAAATATTTTACTATTAATTTTAATTTTGTTTTACACAAATATGATTACAAAAAAACATAAATATGACTACAAAGAAAAACACAGGTCTGTGAATGTCTGCATAACTTAAACTCCTATTTTAAGGAGATACATATTTTTTTTCTCTTTACTCTTATTTTTTGTCTAAAAATATGGCCCATATACAATATTTTGGAACCCGACCCGTACACTGAACCAAACGACTTTCCGGGTCATTGGGTTATTGGGTCGACCGCAGATGAACAATAGGTTATTAACTTAATTAATTTTATTATATAATAGTAAAGTATTGATCTAGGAAATAAAAAGATATAAACTAAAATTATATATTTTCTATTTTTTTTCAAAATATATGTTCTTTATGTTTTAAAAAACATTTAAAAATACTTAATTTTAGTTAATATAATTTTATTATTACTTAGACATACGAAATATCAAAAATAATTTAAATAAGTTAATTTTTAATAAAAAAATTACAAGTTAAAAGTTATGACATCTAAGAAAAAAATACCAAAACCTAAAATTCATAAATATTTGAATGTAGTGTGAATAGTAAAATTAAACTTTATATTCAAGATAAACAAAAAATAAACATAATTATAATAAATTCTCGATAACAAAATAAACTAATACCAAACTACATCAACTAAATTTGGTTCTCTATACCATTGTTCACTTCATTTTCTTCTGGTGGTATAGTGAAATCTTCATCAAATCTAGAAATGACTAATAAAATAGTTGTAATTGGTCTTATAGATGAGAAAAACATTAAAAAAAGTTAATGAAAACATAATTAAAACTAAAAAAGAAAAAAGAGAGTTATTTATTGGTTCAACCAATGGTTCATTCGCTAATCGGATTTCGGGTTAGTGGTTTTTGCAGGTTTTATTATTCATTTTTCACAAAATTTAAACTGAATTTATCTTGGGTTACCGAATTTCACCGGTTTAACCACAGATCTGGTTCGAATTTTAAAACACTACCCATATCTAATTTAAATTGTGAGTATTTGATATTTACAAAAAAATATTCCAAAAAATACAACACAGGTAATATATCTGCGCTTTGTAACGCGGATTAAGATCTAGTTTTCCATTAAATTATAAATCAGCGCTTGTTTGGAAACAAAAATTTTACTCAGTACCGATGAATAAATCGAAACGGAAGTAGTACAACATTAGTCGGCATGATACTCAGTAAACGTCCTGCGATTGCAAATACGAATAGTACCTTGCATGATAACTTGTTATATAAGACGTGAAACGCAATCAAGAACACAATGCAGTTAGTGCGGTAATGCAATTGGTAAAATAAGAAAGAAACAAAAGTCATATTTTCTTTAACACGTAGCATGTTTCTGACGTCATAGCATGGAGACAAATAAAGTATTTTTTGAAAGTGACAAAAGCAAAGCATTTTCTTTGTTTCTGGTCCATATTACGTGTTGCTCCAAAAAAAAGTCCATATTATGTAAACCATACATGATAATAGGTAAACTGAACAAGAACTCAAATGCACCAATGATAATTAGTAGCTTTTTTGCCATTGTGAATATTTATTTGTGTGATTCGATGAATTAAATTAGGAAACGTAGCTCCAAAAAAAGAAGAGATGAGCATTATTGTTTTACAAAAGTGGTTGGATTTGACACCAAAACAGAAAGCTAAGAACATTTCAGAACAAAGTTATGCCTCATTGCGTCGACATATTTATTCTAGAGATTCCATCATCAAAGACCAGTCTAAACAACACAGTTATGTAGAGGTGAGCAAAATATCCGTAAATTTGATTCGATTTGTTATCCGTTTTAATTGGAATAAAAAAATTGGATACCTGCAATTCCAAGAAGCAAAACAAATACTATTACGTAACAAATACTAATACGTAATATCCTTAAGAAACAAAACAAATCATAAATATTAATATTTTTAGGAACGAATATTCGACATAATCCGTTATAAATATATATAAACATATCTTTTATATACTAAAGTGCAAATCGTCTGACGAATCAAATATTGACATGTGGAAATTGTTTACAAAACAATAAAAATGAAAACAATTTTATTTATTTTTCATTCGATTTTTCTGTAATCCAAAATTTTAACTACCCATATTCCTATTTTTTCTCAGAAATCTATACCCACGTCAACTTGCATATTTTGTAACTGTTTTCTTCATCTTCTGTATAAGTTGCTAACCTACTACTTTTTCTACGTGATCTCTGACAAACAAAATTTAGACCCCGCTTCTTCAATTTTTTTCTTTTGCTTTTCATTTCTTGTTGAATTTTCAAAATAAATAACTTCATCACCTTATCAAAGGAAGAAGTAAGTGTTTCATTGTTATCATTTTATCACTCATATGTTTCGTGCAAGAATAAATAAAGTTTATGTTATTAATCTTATCCATCAGCAACCATTATCAATGTGGGTTTTTCTGGCTTATAATATAAATCTAGATATTAATTTTAGAATCTGTTTCTTTTTTTTTTTTTACATCAAACGGATGATCTATTACTCAAACTTGAGGTGTTCTGGGTAACCAGACCGGAATAGAACAACCAACGTACACAAGCTTACGATAAAAGGACCCAGCTGACTTAGCTAGAGAATCGGAAAAGTCGTTCTGTAACCTAGGAACATAAAAAATCTTGAAGTCAAGGAAGTAGATCCTCAACGTCAAGAGTCTTTCCAATTCCGTCGAGAAGCTTGGCCAGGCATGAGGATTTTTAAGCATCTCGATCATCTCTTTGCAATCAGTCCCAAAGCTCTGACATGGCGAATGTTGAAGCATGTTCTCCATTGCCCACCGCAGTGCCTCCAGCTCTGAATGCAACGCCGATTCCACTCTATCAAAATTCCGCATTCCCATTAACCGACCTTTACCCGAACTATCATTCCACACCCATCCATAGCCACTGAAAAGATCAGAAGGAGTCCAAGATCCATCTACCATGCATATGTTACCCAGACTTAGGGTCTGGTCTTTATTTAACAGATTTATAAATTTGTTTCTATAGCTTACATTTTAAAGATTCTTTTACATATTTTTTATGGATGGTGAGAACAGATGTTAAGAAGATGACAAGAATCTGCAATTGTGCTCAACCATCTCAAGATTTGATGAATCATCGACGAGACAAAACGTAGATAAAGGTGTGTAGAGGTAAAACGTGAGAGAAAGATGCCTAGAGGGTGAAATATATGTTCATATTTAATTTTGAAACAATTATTTTCAAATAGATTTCTTTTTTATTAAGAAATCTATGTTTATATCTTATTAATTTTTTTTTAAAAAAAGTGTCGGTTATTTTCAAATGGTTTCAAGGGTAAGTTAAAAATCATAATATGTGATATTATCCTTGTTTTGAAACTTGCTAGGCGTTACGTGTGCGCTCGACCGGCGCCTAGTGCCTAATGATAAAATCGGAAATTAATCGTTGAGTAATCGGGATTAATTTTTAGTATTTTTGTATATATACTAGTAAATGTAATACAAACAATAGATTATCGCTTAGCGTAGTGGGTCAATGGCTTCCCTAACCTCCAATAGGTCGCGGGTTCGAAATCCTTGGTGGCTATTTTGTTATTTTTCGCACTTTTATCATTAATGACCGTGAAATTACAAAAAAAAACCTGTCTTCTTCAGCAGCCATTGTCGATCTTCAAACCCAAATTTTACGTTTCAGTGTTTTTTCACAATTGTTTACTTCTTTTACTTGTTTTTGTTCACGATTTGTAGTAGTTCTACAAAGAAACACTTTGTTTCGTCTTTTAAACCCCAAATAATTAAGATTTTCACATGTCTCCGCTTAACACAACCGAATCACCTCAACTCGCCACGGTCGAACACCGTTCAGCGATTTCTCGACCGCCGAATCGGCTAGCGGCCGAGTTTTAGAACAAGTAAAAAAACCTAAATAATTATACTAGATTTGATATAATAAATCATAGATAAATACAAATTCTCATCAAATTTAATTTAATTAACAATAAAAAGAGGCAAATATGAAGTAACGACCCACAAAATAATTCATAATTTTTCTCAACTTACCATGTACCAATATAAATGAATTTAAATTATCAATTGTGGAATATATTAGAAAGGAAGAAATTTGAGATATTATTTTGTTAAACTATCAAAAATCAATTATCAGTTATCAATTATCAACATATATTATCAAAATTTCCTATACTGTCCGCAACAAAATAAAAACCAAAGAAGGAACATACATGAAGCCATTAAAATATTTAAGGATTTGTGGAGTTTAGAGGATGCCATAATAATAGTGAAGAAATTTCTAACCCTGTTATTTTTTTGTAGCATCAAAATATTGATATTATTTAATAGTTGGTTTTTCCTATGTTATAATTTTATTGTTTTTAAAAATTACTTCTATACAAAATACAAAAACAATATATTTTATGAAAGATTTCTTTTCAAGACAAATACATAAATATTAATTGAATGAATCAAATATATTTTTTCTTAACAATGTTTTCATGTGTTGTTCATATTTCAATTAAAAATATAATAGATATGACCCGTGCATAGCACGGGAGTACACTAGTATTTATATAAGTATATATATAAGTTATGTAAATATTATATTTTATGTAAGTTTTACAATATTTTTACTTATTTTATTTCTTATATTAGTTATAAGAATTTTTAAAAAGTAAATAAATTTTTATTTATATAATAAAATATTATTCTTTTATATTATTTCTAGATTATTTTTTCTTAATCATTTCATTTTTAAAAATCGAATCGGATATTCAATCAAAATAATAAAAAAATTTGATATCCGAAATACCAAGTAGCTACAGATCGAAACAGATCAGACAATTAATTATTTGAATGAAACATATCGGATCACGAATACTTCCAAATATGTGTGGTCATATGGATATATAGTCATACTTTATGTCTCCGTTGAATATCCAAAGAGAGGATTCTACGATATTCAACTTCTTCATGGAAATTAGTCTAGATTCTTCGATATATCTGGGATACCACAAAGATCAAGATTCATATAATCTGTGAAAACATGTGTACACACTGATGCTAAATTTATACATATGCAAGCAAAATGAATGAATTTATATCTTTTATTTTTTTTTGTTAAACGTGAAATAGGAGAACAAGAAAACGACTTTTGAGAGTTAGAAGTCTTAGGGCATCTCCAACCTACACACCAAATTTGGTGTGAAAAAAACACTAAATTTGGTGTTTTGGTGTTTCACTTTCTTTTTCACCTCCAACCACAAACACCAAATTCCACACCAAAAAGAATATTTTTTATTATTATAATATTAAATTTAGTTTGCTGTTTATTTTTAATAGTTTTAATAATTAATTATTATTTATAAAAATGATTAATTAATAAATAAAATATAAAATTCCAATTGATAAAAAATAAATATTAATCAATAATTTGAAAACTGAAGAAATTAATTGGAATAATTTGTTTAGTTTTTGTAAATAATAATAATTAAGTAATTAATTAAGAAAGATATAAGATTACAATCCGTTAAACAAAATTTCAATGCATAAAATATAAATAACAAGAAATAAAATACATCATACTAATTTTCAGAATTAGTATATTCAGACCACAAGTGTTCAATTAAATCATTACGAAGTTCAATATGCGCTTCTCGATCCTTAATTTTTCTATGTCGAGCTAAGAATTCTTGAAATCGAGCATCATCTTCACCCGTCATCTCAACTTCAGCAGCTGGGATTTCTGTTCGTTCTTCAATTGTTGCATCAACATCACGTTCATCCTCTATGATCATATTATGCATTATGATACAAGTTGTCATTATATCATGTAACACTTTCTTACTCCAAAAGCGTGCTGGCCCAGCCACAATTGCAAATTGTGACTGTAATACTCCAAATGCACGTTCCACATCTTTTTTACAAGCTTCTTGCTTCTTTGCAAATAATTTTTTTTTGGGACCACGTGGATCGTGAATTGTTTGAACAAGGGTGGACCATTTTGGATATATACCATCAGCTAAATAATAACCCGTATTATAACTTTTCCCATTAATAACGTAATTAGCGGGTGGAGCAGTTCCTTCAGCTAAATTAGCAAAAAGATGAGACACCTCTAACACATTAATATCATTGTTAGATCCTGGTAGACCAAAATATGCATGCCAAATCCAAAGATCATAATCAGCTACAACTTCCAAAATAATAGTAGGAGATCCACTACGACCAACATATTGTCCTCCCCAAGTTGTTGGGCAGTTTTTTTCATTTCCAATGCATACAATCTAAACTACCCAACATACCTGGAAATCCTCGGCGTTCTCCAATCTGAAGTAGCCGTTCAACATCATTAGCGTCAGGTGATCGAAGGTAACGACTTCCAAACACCTCGAAAACAGCACAAGAAAATCGCTTCATACTTTCTATAGTAGTGGACTCTCCTATTTTGATGTACTCATCGGTGGAATCCGCCGGCAACCCATACGCCAACATCCGAAATACATCAGTTATTTTTTTTGCAAACCAGACAACCCAAGTCTACCAACACCATCTCTTCGCTGGACAAAGTAATTGTCATGTCTCTGTATAGCATCATGAATATGCATAAACAAAGGACGGGTCATCCGAAATCTTCGTCGGAACATCGTCTCCGAGGACAAAGGATTATCTGAAAAAAAATCATTGAAGAGACTGCGAGAAGAATTTTCTCGGTCACGGTTGATAACTACATGAGCCGGAATAGATCCACCGTGGGAACCCTCCGAGTTAGATAGGTTATGAGTGATGATAAAATTGTTGTTAACAGAAATTTGAGCTACTACTTGCTTTTCTATATTTTCGTAATAATCATCATCTGAAGAAGAAGATAAAGAAGAAGAAGAAGGTGGTATATAAGATGAACTTCCATAGTTGAAATTCATTTTTTTGTAAGAATTAATAAAAGATGGTATATAAGATGAACTTCCATAGCTGAAATTCATTTTTTTGTAAGAATTAATAAAAGATGATGGTGGTATTCATCTTATATTCCATATATGGTACCCTCTTTATAGTGTAAGTAATTCAATCTTACCCGTTAAATTTTGTCGACCATGATCTAACTGTTGCATTGATCAGTCTCATCTTCTTTATCCTAATGACCACGATCTAAAAAATACAAATTGATCTTGCCCGTTGAATTTTGTTAACCAAAATCTAACCGTTACATTGCTCAGTCTCGTCATCTTTATCAATGACCACTATCTAATAAAAATACAAATTGATCTTACGCATTGAATTTTTTCGACCAAGATCCAACCATTGCTTTGATTAGTCGCATCATCTTTATGTCCCTTACCACTATCTCAGAAAAAAAACAAATTGATCTTACCCATTGAATTTTGTTGACCAAGATCAAGCCGTTGCATTCACAAGTCTCATCATCTTTACATCAATTATAACTACCTCATAAAAATACCAAAATATCTCTGAATTTTTGTGTCCAAGATGTAACAATTACTTTTTCCTTCACTTGTCTATAAAATGTAAACTTCTCGTTGAATGATCACACCATCTTGTATTTATTTTCTTACCATTAATATTCCTTTTAAAATGGCCTCAATTCGCTCTCAATCATATTATATTGAAGAAGATAAACATTTATGTCATGTGTATCTTGATGTTTCTCAAAATCCAATCATAGGGGTAAACCAATCAGGCGATCAGTTTTGGGCAAGAGTTCAAACTGAATATGAAAAATCTGAGATTTCTCTTACCCAACCAAGACCGAGAAGATCTTTGCAAACCCGAATGACGACAGTTATTTATGCAGTCTCCAAGCTGAGAGGATGTGTTAACCAGATTGAAAATAAAAATCCCAGCGGTGCTTCCGAATAAGACATTGTAAGTGTGTATAAATAGATATTGTTTGTATTTTCTCCTACTTTATTATTTTTTTATTTGCTAACTTATTTGTATTTTCTCTTTCTTAATATAAAATCAGCTAAACCAAGCAAAGATGTTATTGACACAAGATGTCAAATACAAGAAAGGGTTCAAATTTGATTACGTCTGGCCAATCCTTAAAGGTATTGAAAAATTTTCAAATAACCACAGCAACAGAGCCATTGCATTCTCAGAAGAAAGTCGTAATGCCAAATCATCTTCATCAATCCAAGATGAGTCATCGCCATCCCTGGTATGAATTTCTTCAATCGAAATTTAAATAGTGAAGAATCCGGTGGTAATTTATCAATGAGACCAATGGGTGTGAAAAAAAGCAAAGAAAAAACAACAGTCTAATGAACAATTTAAACGAATGATGGAGTAAAATGATAAGCTTCTAAAAGCTATGGTTAAAGGTATTTCTGAAAGAAATAAAATTAAAAGGCAGAAAGTAGAGTTACAAAGAAAGAAACATGAGCGTAAAATGTTACTCGCGGATTTGAGTTCTATAACTGATCCGGCAAGACGTGCCTATATTGAAAATGAAAGAGTGATGATTCTAAGTAGAGGAGCACCAAAAACCCAATATGAAGAACACGGAGAAGGTTCTTTAAGCCAATATCATGGATCTCAATATTGAACATATCAAGCTCAAGGAGACCGAGCTCAAGGGGATCAAGCTCAAGGAAGTCAAGTTCAAGGACAACAACCTCAAGATGAAGACCCAAAATCACCAAGTGAGCAACAAGATTTTTCCCTGTACTATAATTTATTTAGCGGAGGCAGAAATAGATTTCTAGGAATTTATTAGATTATTATTAAAATGTATATTTTGTGTGTGTTCATGTGTATTTTTTTTAGTTATGTAATTTTTGTGTGTTTGATTTTAATTGGTAATTTTATGTGTGTTTAATTTTAATTATGTAATTATATGTTTTCATTAATTTATTATTTTAGTTGATGGTATTTATTTGTATTTTTAATTAATTTTCTTATTAAGATATGTTAAAAGTATAATTAACTGACACATATTTATTTAAATATATTATTTTAAGGTAAAAGTAAGAATAAAAAAATATTTTATTTTTTGGTGTTTTGTGAACAGTGGTACACCAAATATGGTGTAACACTGTTCACAAAACTCCAAAAAAATATTTATACCATTGGGTTTACCGTTCGGTTGGAGAGTGAAGCACGTCATATTTGACGTTATGCCGTTCGATTGGAGTTGGCCTTATAGAAAAAAAAAAGAATGAATTGAAGATAACCCATTTCATTTCCTGAACCACACTGGCATATCCTTTATATATTAAAAGAGAAATATTGTAATAAATGCGTTCACACTGTAATTGACATGTGTCACTCTCACAATCATTTGACAATTAATGCGTTCACACATTATTTTTTTTTTAATTTATTATTTAATGTGTTTATATATTATTTTTAATTAATTCATTTTCACTACAGTTTTAGTCTTTTGATTAATAAATTAAAACTTTTTACGTGAAACTAATGAATAATATCTTTATTGTAAAAAAATTACAAAATCATTAAGATTCGCATCAACTAAAATATTGTGATGAAAATGTTTGTAGAAATTGAAAGTTTTGTACATTTCCAAAGTTGGTCATGGTTGAGGCTTTGGTACACAAGAACAACAAATACAGTGATTGATTATGAATTAAAGAAACTGAGGTGAAAAACACCACACGTAAAGTCAGATCTTTAGTTTAGTCAAATATTAACATTTTTTATAAAGTTTTCATATTAGACCAAGAATTAGAAACAAAATCAAATTGATTGAAGAAAATCAAAAATCAAAAAAAGCTTTCAAGAGAAATAAAAATAACAAAATTGATTAAAAAACAGAATTCAGGTACCAAGTGAAGATGTCCCTTTGTAATATATATTATTTTTATTCTTTACGGGTACAATCTGATTTTCTTTATATGCAAAATTGTTATTAATTTCTAGGTTTGTTTATTTTTACTTAATTTTATTTAAGAATTTACTATCATGTGTTATTTTGAACAAAAATATTTTAAATCTTAATTAACGGTATATTTATATATTTATCATCACATTTATATACTTTTACATATACATACATGTACACATTGACATGAACGACTATATAACTAAATATTCACCACAAGTGAGAATTTTAGTTCTTATTGAAGTGATTTTTTTAATGTTTTCTTCCACTATCGCTCAAATTGTAGTGAATTGTTTTGTGTTAATAATTTTTTTTCTTCAAATATTATTTAGATTTTATTTGATTTATATGTCTTTATAAATTATAATAGGAAACTATTAGTTCGACATAAAAAATATCTAAAATTTATATAACACGAAACCAAACAAATAACAATAGTTTTTGGTTATCATCGAAAAAATTTAAAACATCAAACATTTAAATCAAACAAACCAAAATAAATATAGATTTAGAATGATAGTTATATTTTAAGATATTACAAAACAACGTAAAACTAAACCAATATTTATACTAAACAAACATAATATCATTTTTATCTTAAAAATAATAAAAATAATAATCTCAGTATGCACAAGGTGCGAGTTATTACCTAGACTTTTTTCTTTTGTCATTTATATCGTCCCAAGTTCATTCAAAGTCACTGCGTTGTCATTTGACAAAAAAAAAAAAAGTTTTGGCATAAAGCGCCCTTTTCTCAAAAAAAAGAAGGGAAATTGCCAAAAATAACACTTTCAAGATACCACTTTTCAACTTTACACTAACCAAATTTACCACTAAAATTTTAATAGTCAAAATACTATTAGAATTTAGGGTTTTGGGTTTAGGATTGATAGTTTAGGGTTTATTGTTGATTTTTTAGGGTTTAGGGTTTACTATTTAGAGTTTAGAGTTTAGGGTTTAAGGTTTAGAATTGATATTTTAGGGTTTAGGGTTGGTTTTTAGGGTTTAGGGTTTACTTTTTAGGGTTTAGAGTTTAGAATTGATGTTTTAGGGATTAGGTTTAATATTTTATTTAATATTTATTTTATGTATATATATATAAAAAAAAGGATATAAGAGTCTTTTATCCTTTAATAAAATGTGTTGATGGTAAACATGAAAAGTGGTACCACCAAAGTGGTATAATTGAAATTCTCCCTAGAAATGTTTTTGGCATAGAGCGCAGTTTCCAATATTTTTGCCTAAAGTTTCTTTATGTACATGTTTATATCACATTCATCAGTTCAGAAGTTGATTTGTATATATTATTTGTTGTCGTTTTAAGCATACGTGCACATGCATAATAGATTATTATATTGGATAAATTTTGAGGTGGGGATGTAGACATCTATTCAGCGATTATATATCTTTACAATGTTATTATGTATTTCTGAAGCATTTTTATACGGAAGAAAACAGTTACTGCATGTAGGACCGAACATTTATCCGTTAAATTTGATTTCATTTGTTATTCATTTTGATTAAATCCAAAAAATTTGGTTATCTATAAATCTTAGAAGCAAAACAAATACTAAAAACTAATATCCTGAAATGTGAAACAAACCAGAATACTAAAAAAATTAGAAATATATATCCGCTCCACTCCGTCTGATATATATATATATATATATATATATATAAAATTTAATATAGAGTTTTAAATGTATAATCTTATATAATTATTATATTAAAATATAATTTATTTATAAAAATTACTTATAAAAATTTAGTTAAGAAAAGAATATAAATATTTATAGAAAAATACAATTTTTTTCTTTTTAAAAATGTTTTATAGAAAATTTTATTACTTTTTTAGAAATTTATGAAACATATAGTTTCATTAAATTTTTATCTTTATTTATAATTTCTAAACAAATTTATATAGTTTATTTGTAGATTACTTGTATTTGAACAAAGTGGATAAAATATCCGTAAATATATGTAACTATTCATAAATATCTGAAGTTTTTTTGGATATCCGTATTTTTACGAATCAAAACAAATCCAAAAATCAGATATATGTGAAGTACAAAGCAAATCACAAAAATTTCGAAAACGACGGTATTCTTCGATCTATGCCTACTCCTAATTCTATGAGCTAAAAGTATTCATTCAAAATGGAATAAAAGGGGGTCATATGAATTCGAAAGTTTTCTACAATTTTTTTAAGAATTATTTTATATAATATACCTCATATATACAGACCCTATATCCAGTGTCAATCAATAATCATATTAAAGTTTATAGTATAATGTATGTTCTCCCGGAAATTTTAATCTCTCCACTGACCTTTTTGTTTCATTAAATAATGAAAATCTTTCTTAAAGAGTTTCCACAACGTTTTACTATTCTTTTCTAAAAATTCGTTTTAATACTTTTCTAGAAAATGGAATTTTTTACTATTATAGGTGACCTTTCGAACCTGGCACTTGCTAGTTGGATGATAGCGATTTTGGGCAAGATTGTGTCTTTTCTTTCTTAAAAGAAAAAGATGTCGTTGAATCATAATGTGCTCTAACCTTGCTTGTTGTCTTTTCTTTGAGTTATATTTTTCGATTTACTCGGTATATTTTTAGCTAATATAAAAGTATAGAGTTATAGGTTTTTTAATAGTTCTTAAACTTATATTAGATAAAAAAATATTATAAATGTTAATAATAAAACTGAATATAATGTAATATATATATATATATAATCTTTAACAAATGGTTCGCTAAAATGATTTTATCAAATTTGATTTTGGTAAATATTTGAAATTATATAATGTAAAATGACATGATATAATATTTTGTATGATATTTCTAAATCATTTTAAAAATTGATGTGTAAGCCCATTATTGCGAATAAAATATATTCATGTTGGATGATAAAATATTTTTAGAAAAAATTGTATCACATGAGATGAAGAGTAATAATAGGATGCAGTTGAAATATTGTATTGTTGGAGTAATTAATGGTAGGATAAAAAAATAGTTATACATACGTTCAACAACTTTTTTATAGTAGATTTTTAGAATGATTATGTTTAAATAATGTAGATTATTATCTGAAAATTTTGTAAATTTGGTAGTTTTGTGCCAAACCAAATGATAAACACTAATCATTTTTTTCAATGGGCTTTGTAATTCTGTTCAGCATTAATGATGTTTTACATTCCAGTTTCTTTTCTTTTCTTTTTTTTTGAGTAAAAATAAGCACCATTATAAATCTTATATATTAAAACTGAAGTCATGACTTGACTTCATGTGTGATTTTTTTCTTAAACTGGACTATTACTAAAAAAT